GGGGGGGGGGCAGTGCCATATATCCTGACAGCGGTGGGGCTGGAAACAAAGCCCTTGTCACGAAACATGTCAAGAGAGAGGAAGGTGGAGAGGGAGACGCAGACGAACGTGGACGGAAAGGAACAGCTGCCGCCGGGGATTCGTTGTTGCCGTTCCGCGACAACAACACCCGTCCACAGCAAAAACTAAGGGAGAAACCGCCGACAAAATGGCGAGGGAACACAAGAACCACCAGCAGGAGAACGCAGAGGAGAGGTTCGCTGCAACAGCGGCAGCGGCTCCCCTACCAGTCTCACTTATCCCTCACTCACCGCATCAGAGCCGGCATCATCGCCACGTCGGGCAGCCGTAGCATCGGGGCCATCCGACTCTGTCTCTTCTCCCGACTCGTTCGCGCCCACCACACCGTTAGCGTTGTTGGCCAGTTCCTCCTACAGTCCACGTCCCGTTCAGCAGAGGAGCAACGAAACAGACCGTCGTCGGTGGCGTAAAAAATTCAGAAAAGCAGAGGATCAACAGCAGCGGAAGGACAGCCAGTCAGTCGCCCGGTGGCGTTAGAAAGTTGGAGCAGCATAGAGCAACATCAGCAACACAAACACACACACGGGCAGCTATGTAGCTGAGATGTGTGTCTGGGTGAAAGTATATGTAGAGAGAGTCGTAATGGCATTCGCATCTAGCGCATTGCGCATTTTTCGAATTTTGGCCCCCTTCCAGGGACCTTGATTTGTACCCGCTGGCGCTGACGTCTGTTCATTGGTCAGCCGGTTGGCGCGGTTGATGCTAATAACAAAAACACACACACAGTCGTCCGGTGGCGTCAAAAAGTTGGAGCAAGTGGAGATGTGGTAGGCGGTACGGCGGCGTGCCTTTGGCAGATATTGTCTACGGGTATCTGCCTGCCATGTCTCTGCCTCTGTCTCTCCGTGAGCCTTTGCCTGAGTCTGCCTCTCTGCCTGTCTCTGTCTCTGTATCTCTATCTCCCTCCGGCCCTCTCACGTTATCCTCGGAAGACTCCTCCAGCACCGCCAACGCCGCAAGCCGCATCTCCTGCTGCTCTCTCTCCTTCCGCGCCTCCTCTTTCGCTGCTGCTGCTGCTGCTGCTGCTGCTGCACCTCCTCCTGCTGCAGAAGCACCTTTGGTGGCCGCCTTCGAGGCAGAGGAGCCTTTGCCTTTCCTTGCTGGGCCTGTCGTGCTAGCGCTGGCGGGCACGTCGTCGTCGCCGCTGGCGTCGAGGACCTTTTCCACGCACTTGGGACACAGCCACTTTTTGGTCCAATTCATGTCAGTGTGAGTGCGCAACGTTATTTCGGCGCGAGCGTGAGCACGCGGCGAGGGGGGGGACNTTCTGGTGCTTTCACTTCCTGAAAGTTGTAAGCACTGTGTAACTGTCTCGAGGGTGCTTGACCATTTTAACACAACGTGGTGCGATCATCCCCCTTGTGCGGAGTGAGGGTTCTCGACCCCGCACAACATGGTCTACTCGACCACCATTATGGTTGCCGCCAAAAAAAAAAGAGGAACGAGAAAACGGTAACCTGGTTGCCGAGTTCACGAGGTGAATTGGCTTGTTTTACAACGTCGTTGCCAAGCGACGAAAACCCAA